GTAGTGGGGAGGCGGGGCGTAACGAAACGTGGAGGCCTTGAGTGACTGGAGGGCGATCAATCGGAGACAGGGAGGAGGAACAGACAGCCAATCAAAGCGCAGCTGAGGCGGGCCTAGCGGAAAGGAAACCCTGAGCCACGCCTCTCCGTCCCGGCAGCGGGGAGCGGCGCATGCGTCCAAAGGCTCGCTGGGTCGGGCCGCGAGTGACGCACGTAGCCCGGCCCGCCCCCTACCATCGGAAGGCGCATGCGTAGAGGCGCCTCCCGCTAGGGCAGGGCCGCGGCCCCGCGGCGACGTGCCCGGGGTTGCCGAGGTAACGGCTGCGGCGGGGCCTGGGGCCCTGAGCTCCGCCCCGCGCTCAGACGCAGGGCGGGCCGCCTCGTCGCAGCCTGGAGCCCCCCGGCCAGCTTCAGGAGCAGCGGCTGCGGCCCCGCAGAGCCTCTTCAAGGACGGCTTTGGGCCCTCGTGCGTTCCTCAGCTGTCCTTCTCACCCTCTCCCTGCGCAGCCATACTTGCCATTAATTCTGCTTTAAAGAGTAAAGAGCAGCTGCAAATAAAAGACACCACAAAACTGGCGTCTTCCCCCCACAACAGAAGGCAGCAGCTGGCCGCCCCAAAGTAAAATTCTCCCATTAAGAAGTTCCTTGCCAAAGCAGCCACTGGTGCTGTTCCTCTTCTCCAGCACCGTGGGGCACAGAGCACAGAATGCAGAGCTGACACCGCAGCGCCCAGCTCTGCTGTGGGACACGGCAGCCACTGGAAAACAGTCTCACTGCTGGGCGACAGAAAATGAGGGCCTGAGATGGTTAGAAAGTGACACAACAGCATCTCCACTGCTCACCGCACCGCTGGATGGGAACACATTGAGCCTCCGAGAGCATTCCCCAAAAATTTGCAATTATTTGCAATTCTTTCTTTTTTTTTTTTTTTTTTTTTTTGCAGTTATTGAGCTCAACTAGAAGCGGTAACACACAGCTCCCAGCCATTGTGAAAAGATTAAAGTTTGTACTGTAAGCTTCGATTGGAATTTATCTATCCCCTAAAGTGAGGGCATCCACCTTTCCTTCAGAGCAGCATGCAGGTTCTTCCATAGATGTAGGAAATAACGAGCAGGAGGTGGGAGAGAAAGAAATGACAAAATACAGATCTTTGCCACCCACTGTCATATTTCCAAGCTGATTACTACTGACCTGCAATAAGTAAGAGATGAAAATACATGCCACTTTCTTACATTTCTGAACACCAGCAGTCCTAAAGGCATTGATTTTTATATGAACGTAGCTTATGCTCTTGTTCCTCACTCCATCTTCCATAATACCTACAAAAATTAATACTATGCAATCAGTTCTTGAGCGCAACAGGCTGAGAATACATTGGATAGAATCCTGAATTCTTTAAGTTTTAAAGTCAGTAGGAGTCTGAATAACCAAGCCCTGAAGCAAGGACTTCTGGTTATGCTCATTAATTATTTTCACTATGTAATCATATTATTCTAAGCTGGCAAAAATAAAGCAGGAAGCCAAAGAGATAAATAATTGCTCCATTTCAGTGGCACTAGAAAAATAAGCATAGCATGTGTTGCTCAAGGGATTTGTATATATGCCTTGCAAACAGTAGTTAAGGAGAGCAGAGCAGTGTCTTTCATACTGAAATGCATTGCTCTCTCAATTGAAATGCCACCTATGTAATAATTGAGAAAAGGAAGTGCAAAATGTGGCATCCAATTGAAATTATTGATATTGTTTTCCATACACTATTTACTGCTACTTCTGCTTCGACAAGCCCCTCTTGGGACAGCGAGTGAAAAAGAATGGGTGGGAGGTAGGTCACAGATGTTCTCACATGTCAGAACAGCACAAATGAAAAACATCACTCCTCAGGGTGGACACAAATAAAACCACAGAAGGATTTCTATATTAAAATGACTGAAATCGCTCCGTGATGTGACGGCCCTGCTGTGGGTTAGGTTTCATTTCCAGCACAACTGCAAAGGCAAAATGCACCTGGATAATCCAAAGGATGCAAAGCAGTCAGTGACTAAAGCAAATCCACACTACAGGGGAAAAAGAAAAAAAAAAAAGAAAAAAGAAAAAAAAAAGATCATCTTTATAAGACCAATTAATTTCTGGACAAAGAAGCAGCAACATAAAAAAGCCCCAGAGAATATCACACTTGTGTGCCAATATGACAATAGAGAAATGATCACAAGGATCTGCTGGGATCATTCTTGAGAAATAAAAAAGCAACTGCTGAAGAACCCCATCTGAAATCTCTTTCCCTGGCCAAACAACAGGCCAGTGTAATTTCCTTGATGTCCTACACGGAGAAGTAAACCCAGAAAACAGAAAATAAAGAAAACGATAAGGAGAAAAATGATTTTAGAGAGACAACAGCAGTCGTAACTTTGACTGTTCAACTGCGAGGCTCTTTAGTTGTCATCCAGCAATAAGGCTTTTCTGTGCATTTCTATTCCAGTGCTTTTCCACCCACCCACTCAAAGCATTTTAGAGACAGCAGCACCAAAATCATGTCTGCTCTTTTAACTTACATTCTCAGACCTTCTGACAAAGCACTCCAGAGAGAAGTACCATAGCTGCTCCCCACCCTTCCTTTCAAATATTTCTTATATTCCAGAAAACAGCTTTTTCATCTTTTTTCCAGAGGAAAAAAACATATTAGATCTCATGCTTCTAAAGGTGAACTTTGCATTAAAAAATAACCCAGGATTTTTTAAGGTTGGGGATGAGGAGTAGGGAGTGTTATGTAGCTTCAGTGTATTTGTTAAACAAGTTATCCTTCACCAGGAAGAAGGGTCTAGGAACAAGCTTTTAAGAATAAGGTTTCTTAAAATCACAGGCTAGATTAATTCCTAGCATTGTTTCACTTGCAATGGTGGAAGTAGTCTATGAATGAAGATTTTTTTAAAGGACTACTTGTTGCAACAAAACCAAATTGTACTTGTAGCACTTCAGGATGGGAACTTTCATGAGGAATAAAGGATATGAGAAGGGGAGCTCCTACCTATGGAGCAGGAAGCCATAGAGGAGGAGATAATGCTTGGGCAACCCTATTAACCCCTAACGGCCAGCCCAATGCAGACGCAGATTTGCACTTGGCCAAAGCTGGCTTGTGACCTCTCTGTCTGTAGTTGGGAGTACTGCTCATACACTACTATTTGGCTCTGGTGTTCCACCAAAGACAGCTAAAATAAGGAAATCTTAACCTGATTATATCTAAATCCAAATTGCCTGACAGTGCATGAATTACATTCGCTCAATCCACATCATCAACCGCCTCCTGTAAGCCGCTAATATTTCCACACTGTGGTACGGTACATTCAGTAATCCGATTGCCTTGGGAATATTTGTTTTTCCAGAACTTGTGGCCAAGGTACATAAGATTAGATCGGATGCAGCTTGTCTAAGAATGCTGTGATGTGGGTGCACGGTATATCTGCTAGTTTTGAGTTACAGGTAGAAGTTCTCTTTCTCTCTTTCAGACTTTTCCAGCCCCAGGCTCAGGCTGTGCTATCTGAAGCTTCTTGCAGCATTTGGTTCTTCTCGTTTTGTGTTGCTGCTGGCCTTCTAATGCCAGAGATCACCACAGGAAATATTTGTACGGCATGTCTCGCTTGCTGCATGACTGATCCGTACCTCAGCAAAACTTGGGATATTTTCTAGGTCTTCACAATGACAGAAGACAAGTCTCTGTGGGATTCACACCCTTCTGCTGGGGTTTTCTCACCATTCTCCATGTTAACATGAACCAACAGCTGGGTTTAAGAGATCTGTTATAAATAGTAACATCGTGCTGCTAGCAAGCTTCTTGGAAAGTGAAGAAAATACGTTATTTAATGCACTCTGACATTTGCTTTTCCTCCCCTATTCCTGAGCTGCATTTCTGTAAACATCCGTAACAACAAATGCACAGAAGTTGACTTCTTCACGTAGACATAACAAGTGCTGCCTTGAGCCCAGGAGATGATATCCAGAACAGCTTACCTCCCTACAGCCAGACAGCTGGCAAACTCTCACAGTAGGAAAAGGAGTCAGAACGTGGATGGAAATTCCTGATTCCAGCAGCGGCCAAGATTACAACCTTTGGCATTTGATTTTCATGGCTGCTCTACGTTGCTGCAGAAACTTCCTCCTTTTGCCATATCTTTCCATTCATTAAAATTGCAGCTTGCAATTAAACATTCTGACATAACATAGCTGAGATTTTTTGGCAGCAGCCTTAACCAGAGGTTTTCAGAGTTTCCTGCAGACAGCTTTAAATTTTCATATCCTCATGAATGCTTGCCACCTTCTTTTAATGACCTGAAAAAATAACCTTCTTCTCTTAGGAACTTCATTGTTGCCGTATTTCCCCAGCACTCATTTACTGCTTCTAGAAATATGTCATGCACATGTATATTTATAGAGGGAGCACAGTGTACATATGCACCGTGTAGTTTGACATCTTATAGAGAACACGCAGATTGCACAGGAGATCTAAAGAAATATTCTTACATTCAATACTTTCTTTATTAAAAGGCATTTCTCCCTTCCCAGGGTATTGTATCATTTCACTTATTTAAGAAATATTTACTACATTATTCAAAAGCTTCAGCCCTTGATCTGTTATTAATTTCGTAGCCTTACAGATTCTGACTTTCATATAAGGCAACACTAAACTATTATTTCTATGCCATAAAATATTTCTTAGGATAGAATTTGACCTTTTTGCAAGGAGCTGGAAGTCTCAAGGATTTTCAAGTTATCTGCATTCTTAAGGTGCAGAATATATTTTATCTGTTGGAAGCCTGTTCAGAAAGCGCTCATCTCTAATACAGACTTGAAATTGATTTTAAAAAGGGTCTTTCTAATGTTCAAACTGGCCCTAATCTCTTTTTTCTTCTAACATTACCTGGCAAATAAATTCTTAAAGGGATATTATCAATTTAAGAACTATGCTTTACTCTGGAAAATTCTCCAAGAGATTAAAGAGAAGACATCCTTTTTCCTGTAAGTTTAATTTCTATATTCGACTGCAGTATGTGTGGTCAGTATCTCATGCTGTTAGGAAACAAAAGAGACAGAAATAGAGATAGGAGACCATAATACCTAAAAAGTCTTTAAACTGCTTTTTAAAGTAGATTTGAAGTTGGTGGGACCTCTTCAAGTGACAAACGACTTGTGGAACTCTTGAAAGCCAGATAAGTTCTGCCTCATGCAGAGCATCCTCGGCTCCCACTGCAGACAGCTGCAGCTCTTAGCATGGCAACTTAAGCGTTATTTTTCCTAGACTTGATCTGTTTTTCTGGAAACTCGATCGATCAAATCGCACACGAGACATATGCTACTGCCCTGGTCTTGTAAACTTCACACACAGAGTCCAGAAAAGGTCTGCATGATCTGTTATAATGTGCAACATATAGGAAAGAAACCTTTATAGCAGTTAACTTCTGAAATAAAGTTTAATCTTTAAACTTGGGCAGTATACAAGGTACATTTTTGGCATTTTATGATGGCATCCAGACTCCAAAGTACAAACGTTGCTGCGGTTTATTTTCAGGCAGTTTCTCTGGGATTACACTTGGGATGATTGATCTGTGTCCCACAGGATTTATAGAAGCCATCAACCTCCCTTCTTGCTCAGGCACTTTATCATGTAAAGGTAAAGATGCCATTCGTTTTATCCTGGGAGGTTTGCTCTAATTTGGAAAACAAGACTTAAAACAAAATAACCTGTGTTAAAGTGGATCAGCTGGTGTGCATTTCTGAGTTTTGTATCAGAGCAAAGAGCATCAGGCATTTATTAATGGACGTGTCGTCCTCTTGGTTGTGATACAGAATTATTTCATCTCCCAGAACTTCACTGAGAATACACTCAATTCTAATTGTTAAAAGCAGCAGCATATTTGCTGTGATTTCTTAGTATGCTTTCATTTGTTTGCCAGTCTAGAAGACAGCTCACCTGCTCTCTCTGGTTACTTGGCGATAAACTATTTCACAGAGCCTTCCTGTGGCATCTAGGGCAACTGTTTTGAAACACAGCTCCAATACACGCACAAATGTGTCATCTTGTGCTAAAATGCCACTTCAGTGCCAAGCCAAGCCAGCTGGCTTTGGACAGAAAGTTCTTTTCTGCTTACGTGTACAAACTTTATCACTTTCCTGTCCTTTTTCTCTTGCTGTCACAGTACTGCAGAGGTGGTGGCGGCTGATGGCAGAGTGAGAAGCGGTGTTCAAAATGTGTCCACGTTAGTCGAGATAATAAAGCCTGGTCCTGCAGCCATGTGTTGAATCCATCTGCCTGAAAAAGCATCTCACATAATTTAATCAAATATCTTTCCTTATATTATGTGGAAGCAGGGAAAGATGAACTGGAGTTTCAGTTGCTAAATAAAAAGAAAGAAAAAAAAGCATCCAAAGTTTTGATGCCTGGTATGTTGTTTCCTTGGCCCCAGTCATAGTTTGAGAGGGTCCAGACTCCTCCTAGGTTTGGAACTCTTCTATCTTTAGCTTCAGTTTAGCAAATCCTAGTTGAAAATAAGCAAACATATTCTTAGCTTTCCCACAGAGTAGAGTAAGAAAACAGGTCTTACCTGAGAGGAAAGGTGAAAGTCTGGGGCTGGTGGTTTTCTTTTACTATTGGCGGTCTTGTTTTGTTTGTTTTCATTGTTTTTTAAGAAAGATGCAAGCATCTCAAAGATAGACTCTGAAATGGAGGGCATTCAAACTTCTCACTGCGGAATAACGCTGTACAAAGCCCATGGAAAAGTTCCTACTAATTCTAAGATTTGACCTGAAAATGGCAATATGCAAAACAAAACATAAAAAATGCAATGGCTATAGTTTAGCTGGTGTACTGGTTACAAGCAGTTAAAATATGATTTCACACAATTTACCCCAGCTGAACCATCCCAAGCTAGGTTAAAACTATTACTCCCATGGAAGACAGGTTCTGAATTTACCATGCCTTAGCTATCCCTTACCCTGAGGACAGCCTACCTCACATCACCTGGTATTTCATGCAAATAAGCACATGCAAAAAGCTGACGCAAAGACTTGTTATCCCCTCACTAATTGCTGTCCATGTGTACATAGACACAGCCTTGCTTGTGCCAAGCAAATTTTAAGTGATACTTTCAGGGTCTGAATACATGAATGAGTGATCTCATTCACGTACTGACATGCTTGACAACTTACCACGCATCGCCTGAGCCACGGTAATTGTCCATGTGTGTTTGCTCTTCGCCTGTGGCCATCTCAGATGGAAGAAACCAGTTTCAACTTCTCTTTTTCTTGCCCCTGAGGTTAAGCTGACACACTGAGCCTCACGTCTGCTGCAGGCTAGAGAAAGGCACGCTGCAGTTACCATGCCTCAGCTGAGGTACAGTAACTCGTTTAAGTTGCTGGAGCTGGACAGCATGCCTGAGCTGCTGGTTAAAATAGGATAATTGAGGGCATAAATCAGGTGTTAGCTCAGCTCAGTGCAAGTCAATTAGGGATGGATTCAAGCTAAATTGACACAAATCACTCTTAGTCCAAAATAAAAGTGGCTACCCCACACTAGCTTAACTAAATCCAGGACAGCTTAGTCTAACAAAAATGGAAAGACTTTCAACCAGCCATAAAGAGCCAAAAATGTTATACCCGATGCCGAGCGTTGCCTAGGGCATGTGCATTCACTTCAAGCAACAAATACAGTTTGACATACAAACAAAGAAAGTGAGCCAAATTCACAGCTATCTCAGCAGACAATGTAGAGAGAGGACCAGAGGCTGTGAGTGCAGCAATACCTTCACTGGCTCTGCTAGCAAATTTAGTTTTCTCTACCGTATTTCACTGTAAACAGTTCAAAGAATGAGTACGAAATGCTGCTTTATCTCAGGAATTTGCACTCCACCATCGTTTAGCAACAAATGTGGAACGATGCTGACATGGTAAAGGTTGATTGTAAACAAATATAAAACAGCTGAGTTTGTTTGCATTCTTTGAGATTGACGAAAAGTATTAAGGAACAGAGAATGATATACGTACTGAAAAGTAAATCCAAGTTCCATACATCTTAATGATCTGGAGTGCTATTAGTAATTCAATCTTGCAGAATAACCCCTCATGAATAAAAAGCAAATAAAGCTTGATTTTCTCAAATGGCTTCACCCTTCATCTCTAGGAACTGTTAATGAAATTAGGGATGCGTAGTTGAGATTAATCATCAAGTGACCATTTCTAAAATCCCTTACCAATGGGAGACTGACATGTGTGAAGCAATTTGGTCCCCGTTTGGTTTCCGTTTCCTGGCTGAGTTAATTCTTTGAAGAAATTCTTCCAGAGAAAATATCCGTGGGAAACTATTCTGAATTCTTGGTGTTGTGCGAGACTTTGGAAGATCAGCATCCCACTAGGGAGGTTACAAGATGTATACGCACAATAAAATGATAGTCTTGCCCCTGCAACATACCACACAGTCCTAGCAGCAAGCTGTGCTTCAAATATATTCCTGTAAGGCTGTTGAGAACCAGTAAGGACTCGTTCTTCTGCAGCCTGTGGGAAAAAATGGTCCTTTCCCATGGTGGTTACTTGGCTCCTCCACCCAAGGTAGAGACACAGCAGAAGTCCCACAGCATAGAGGACAATGTAAGCGCCCTTTGCTGTGCCATACGTTTGGTTTGCTGCTTTTTTTCCTCGCTCCAAACAGCTCTGTGCACACACTGCACCGCCACAGCAGGACACACGATCCGAACACAGGAAAAACAGAAGTGTGTTATTATTGGGATAATTGAGTGTTGGAAAGAGAGCCGCCTCCAGCACTTCGTCCAGATTAAAATCTCACCAGTACCATTATCTGGGAAGAATCTGCAGTGACACGTGCATGCTACGCATCTCAGTCAGCAATCCGGCCTATAGCTTACAGAAGCTTTAGCAATTCCTTTAATGACCCTTACAAGTCCTCCACTTATTCAAAAGCTGAAATGTTAGTCTATGTGGGACAAACTTCTAAACCAGCAGATTGAAGTACTCCATGTAAATTGAGCAATTTCTGTTAACACATGTCGACTAAACCAGAGCTGCCAATCAGCCAAGCTGCTGCTCTGCAACAACAAACATCTGAGGTACTGGAGCTTGAACTTAATCAACGTGATTTATTTTATCATGCAGAACTAAACCATCAGCCACTGCTCTTACAGACATGGTTTTCAGCTACCCCTCTGCTGGAGCATATATGCTTTCTTCAAAGGAAATGCTATGTACTTAGCCCTCATGTTAACCTTAAAATGCAACCATTAGAATTGATGTTTTTTCAGCCTCTAGCACCAAATTATGCTTGCAAGCATCCTTTTCAGGGATCGCTGAAGGAAGAAAACCTAAACCATAGCTATTGTTAATCCAAGATCACGTCTTCTGTTTGTATCAACACGCAGTAACCAAGACCACAGGAGCTGTAGCTAACACTGTTTTCCTGTCATCATGGGTGGTGGTGATCTGAAAGGTTCCTTTAAAGGATTATTACCTAAAAGGTGGAAGAGGAACTAATTTTAACGTGTATACCACAAGAGCCAGAACTGAGGGATGTATCAGGAACACCAATCAGCAACAGCAAGCAAAGCCAAGCCATTTCCCCACCGCTATTTCTATAGCCTCAGTGAGACATTTCTTTTTTCTGGTACATATTTTTGCTCCCCCATCATCAAGAATGAAATTATCGCTGTTGTAAATGCATTGCTGTAAATTTGGACCGGTTCCACTGACTGCTGATACTCATCGCCTCCAAGCGCCCTGGGGACGCATGTTACGCTGCATACTCCGTGCGACTTCCTCAGCAATGCGTAGCTGATCCTCTCCTCCATGCCAGCTTGCTGTGAGCCATGTGATGGTGTTACAGTTCCAGCTTCCTTCGGTGTCCTGAAGACTTTGGCTCAATCCTTGCTTATCTGCTGTCAGAAGGTTCCAAGATAAGAAACACATTTACTCTTGGTGCTTTCTCTTCACGTTGCTACACTTACTCTTTCTTTTAATGCCTTCCTCTCATCGCGAGGCAGGAGTATATGCTGTCCTGAGCTCATGGAAAACAATTTATATGCTGTCCCAAAGATATGCACCAATTTTGAGCTTGTTTCCACTGATCTGACTTTATAGACCACAGCTTTAGGCACATCCAATGACTCCCTTTTCTCTTTCATTGTTTTGGTTCGTTAGTTTTAGCACTGCTGACACAAACAGTGCATTTCAAAAGGCATCTTTCCTGTGGGCTCTGTTTACTCGTTAATGTGGCTAAGTGTCAGCTGAAGTCCTGGGTGACAGCTTGCTTTGCTTTAGATTGTGGCATTCCCATATGTGATTTATTGTATCTGAAGGGAAGTACGGTTACATCTGTAGGAAAGAGAAGAAGAGTCATGGGAAAAGGGGAGCTGTAAGAAGCCTGGCTGTGAGGGCCACTGTGGAACTTGACATTTAGGTTCCTGCACAAGATGTAATTTCCAGCTGAATAGCTCCGGCACTTACACAGCTTCACTTTGGCCCCAGCTGTGCAGTAAGTGCTACTGACATCTATCTTAAAAGCTGCTCACAACAACCTGACTTGATGTGGTTGTTTTGCTTTCAGAAAAAGGGGAAAAGATGCTTCAGTAAAGCAGTCCACATGAGCCGGGCTGGAATATTTTGTCCAGGCCACTCAGAAGGGAACCAACATAGCTGGGAAAATGGCAGATGACTGACAGCTTGCAAATAAAGTTCTGCTGGAAACATTGCATGCTGAGTTGGTGCCCGTGTAGCTTTTGGTACTGAATTATTGGTACAGTCCCAGTTCTTTCCAATGAGTCGCGTTTACCTCAGTTCAGGATTAATCAACATGTCATTCAGATGTATTCTCAGACAATAAGCACTATGATATGGATGTCAAACTATTTTAGGTCAGACTGTTTTCTATTTTTAGCTCAACTATTCCACAGTAAGACTAATGTCTCAAATTCAGAAAAGGCAAGTGTCAGAAGATACGAGCAAAATCCTGACTCCATGGAGGATCAGGGACAGTTGTGCCTTTGGCCAGCACAGGATTTCACCTGAGGGGTCTGTTTCAGTTGCAGCTTCTTCCTGTTCCAAGTGCCATTCTGCCCCCAGGAACTGAGATTGTTACTGAAATTCCTGCTTTTACAATGCTTTAATGTTGCACAAATAGTGCAGATGAGGGGGGAACACTTGCTTTGAGTGAAAGGTAAAGTCAGTCACCAATTCGTTGCATCAGGACACCACCTAAGACACCACATGCTGCATTCTCAGCTTTTGTTATGGATCTTTAATATCATTATCTGTCGTTCTAAGGTAATCAAGACTGACCAAGGTGCATGTGCTGACCATACAAAGATATCTGCATTCTTGTATTACACACAGCATGTGCACATATGCACATAAATATATATGCAAAGTGCTTTCTTCCTTAATATTTAACACAGAGTGGAATTTCTTAAATGAAGCATTCTTCAAAATGAAGAGAATGAAAAAGACAGCAAAGATATCTATCCAAAATGGAGGCAGCCTTCCTTCTTACTCACAAGTTGGATGGCACAAACACATACCTTCTTATGGACCTCTCAGGCTCAGAATTCCATCTGGGTAGTCAGGTGTCACAGTCAGCTCCTGCAGAAACTCACAGAGCCAGTGAAGATTGAATTGAAACCCTCCCTGTTCACAGTCACTGCCATCTAAAACAGAAAAGAAACCCTGGGTATGCCTGCAACAGAGATAGCCAACTGGAGGCCCACAGAATTTGGATCAAGGCCATGAAGCAGTTTTCTTTGGCCACTGAGATGCAGGCTGGCTTTCAGGCTAAACCACACGGTGCTGCTCTTTGTGCTTGTACAGGGAGCACAGTCAGTTGTATTTGCCTGAACTTCATGTGGGCAGCAAACCCACTCTAGATCCTGATACTCTCATCACTAAAATGGATTTCCAAATCCTATGCACGTTGGCTACCCTTGTCTACGTGTTTTTCTGCACACAGACGAAAACTCGCTTTACCCACGGCCTGAGCTGGCCACAGCCCCGAGCCCAAGCTAATATCCTGCCTCTCAGCAGGCCACAGTAATTTGGGCACGCAACACTGAAGCTGCAGCTACATGGCTCCTGGTTCTTTTGGACAACGGCCAGAGTCAGCTCCTATCTGCCTTCAAAAGTCCATGTAGAGATCGCTTATGTAGCTGGTAGTCAGAAGACCTATGACAGGAATGGAAAAATACTGCTCCTGCACAGTGTCGCCTGTGCTTTGTCATCTCTCACTGCCTTTTCCAAGTCCCGGGGATCTTTAATTCTGACCAAGATTGCAGAGTCTAACTCGTCAACGCCTAAAAGTCAGCGACTTCTGCCCTCGCCACCGTATGCCAGACATACAAGTGTCCACACCACGGATCACAAAGAATCTGCCTGTTTGAGATTCAGTCCTTCTCAAAACCCTGCCTCGTTCTCATAGTAGTTTGCTAATCTCCAGGCCATCATTCCTCTTTAAACTGCCCCACTGATTTAGTAGCATCTTTAAAAAGAACATTAAAATTATTCCTCTTCTGCGGCACTGCTGTGGTTCATTAATTATTTCACATTGCCAACATAAAACTTGTAAAGCGAGAGAAAATTGCAACGCAGACTTGCAATTGCAATCACACGTTCTGATCCCAGAGTCAGGGACTGGCTGTGCTCTGCCTTTATGGCCCCTGCCCTCGCTGCTCACTGCATCAACGTGCTAAGAGTCATCTGCTGCTTTGAAAATAATTAGAACACCACACTCTGTATTAGAGCTCTTTACGCTTAGCCCATAAGAAATACCTTTTGAGCTGTAGTAATACGAGCACAAATGAGCTTTTAGGGCCATTTTGGATTCTTTTGAGACCTCTTCTTTCTCTGTCAGAAGAAAAAAGAACTACATGGCACTCCGATCCCTTTCTCCACCCGGGCAGAGAGCCCTCCTGCGTACACAGTAATAAGATACATTTTCTTTTAGAAATCTGCAGATACTGCAGAACAAATGATGGCTCGCTTTATCCTGTTACATACTATGAGCTGGACAGGAGATAAATATCAGCACGGAACAACACCCCCATTGGCTGTACTCAACTTTAATCCGCAGTGGAGATCTGACTGGCAGCTCTCCCAGGTGGCATGCTGCAAAGGATCATGTGTGCCTCGCTGGGGGCAGCAGTGCTGAGAGCCACAGCCTCCACCCTGCTGCCAAGTGAATGCTAACAGGCATTCATCAGGACCTTGGTGCACAGCCCAGCTTTGGAGCTGACCTTCTGCTCCTCATCCAGGCCGTGCTCCAGGGGATCCTCCTCTCCAGCTCTGCAGGGACCCTCTGCACTAACACCAAGCATTCAGGCTCACCTTTGTCTCTTGTTTCTTTCCATGGTCTCCAGTTCTACCCTCTTAGATCTCACTCTCTAAGTGGGGAGCCTGCACAGTAAAGCTGATTATCAATTCACTGTTCCTCAGTCTTAGCAGAAAGGGAGCAGCAGAGTGATGTTCTTTCCAGTGAGTCAGTGCTTCTTTGCTGGAGGATGTTGACTCACCAGTCCCCACAAGGGCTGCCTCTCTCCCCCAGCACTGTACCTCACCTCCAGCCTCTCCTATTCCCATCTCCCCTTTAAGAAAACATTCTTTTCCCATAGTCCTTCCTGCTTTTACTGCCTTTGCTATAACAAGCTTGGGGACTGAGAAAACTTGATGGCATTCCTGCTTTTACATAAGAAATAAAAATGCTTTCCACTGTCTCCACTCAGGTATACATCTGCCTGCCCCTCTGGACACGCACAAAGCTGTGCAGTCACAAACCTGTCTGCAGAGTGACTTTCACGTGAGGACTCTCCTCACTTTAACATTTTAATTCTGATCCACAGGTAAGATCCCAGTGTTCTTCACCCCTCCGGCCCGTTAAGATTTCCCAGGGGTCTGTCTACCAAGAACCCACTCCGCTAAGTACTGCAGCATGCATTAATGAAAAGCAGTAACTGCTGATTGAACCAAAGAATCAATGAGCCAGCGTTAGAAAACAAGGAACAGAGTACTTTTCATCAATTCCAGTGCAGCAGTGTTCACTTCTTGCTTCCTGACTTTTACAGAGGCCTAGTTAGCTAAAAACAAAACCACAGCACATCTGCATTACTGGGAGGTGAGACTTTGTAACTGCCTGAGCTGGATCGCTAGTGCCAGTTTCAATACAAGCCAGCAGCAGACAGGGCAGACCCTGCTGGTGGGGGATCTCTCACAGGGCAAAAGCCACAAGGTCAGCTCACATAACCCCAAACCTGGAGAGAGGTTGCAAGGAGAGGGCACGACAAAGTCATCTGCTGGATCAGCGATCCAGAAAAAACTCCTCAGCTTTTGAAACTGCCCCTACCCAAAGGAAATGCCAAGCTTGTAGCAGTTCTGCTTGCTTCTCTCCTGCACTGAAACTTTTTGCCTGGAGGAGATGGGGTGAGCTAGTTACAGAGCAGAACACATGACACATCTTTACCACAGTTTGAGTGAATGGAGTGCGCTCCTTGGGGCAATCCCTGCCTCTCCCTCAATCCTGTACTACACCAGGGACACAAAATAAGGCACGGTATAAATAACAGCCCTGTCTCCCTGCTGCTCTAAAATGCAAGCAGTTTAAAACAGCAGCCTTTCTTACAGGGAAGAGTAGAAAGCCAGAATTTTGAAGCCACTTTCTTCTCCCTTGTTAACAGTAAGCCCAGCCTTCTGCTCATAAATAATTCATATGGCCTCTTTTTCCTCAATTACACTGTAGTGTCAGATTCCACACTCTGCCTTCCCAGAATGACTTTCTGGCTCTTCTGGAGACAGCAAGGCTCACTTGGATGTCTGGAAGAGCCACAGACTCATTAGACTCAAGTATTCTTTCCATAACCCAGTTAAAAGATACAGAACACCTTTGTCTTGGAGTTTTGGTAATTATCCCTTGCTGAACTGCTGAGTGACAACATGTTTACAGTAAATCAGTTTTGCTTCAGCCCAGCATTTGTGGTGCAGATTTTAAATACACTGGAGGATGCAAAGATGAGCATAGCTCGTGAGCTAGAGCACACGTAGAGCTGAGAGGAATTCAGACAAGGAGTGAACTTGGGGACCTAGCAGAGAGACAGAAAATCATGGGGAATTCAGTTTGTCAGGTGAAAAAAAAGAAAAGCACAGACAAAAGAAAACAACACTGCTTCCTCTCCTGCCTGCCATCTTTTCTGATTAATTTAAGCTCAGCTTGTTGAGGAACCAAGATTTCTGCTATCAACAGCTTGCTGCCTATACATCCCAGCTCATTACAGAGAGGCTGTCTGCTCTTGTGCCTTAAAGTAAGCAGCCAGAAAACATTAGACAAGTATTGCATGTTGTAGATTGACAACACTTAAAACCTAGATGGCCAAGCTACTGATATAATTTCCATACTTGTTAACCAAGACATCTCCAGTTCTCCCCCACAGCATTCTGTCAGATTCAGCGGGACCAAGAACCTGTCTTAGCTGCCAGAAATCATTTTGTTACTCTTCCATGGATTGGCATCGCCTGAATATACTCTTACCCCTCAGAGCAGAAGTTTATAGAAATCTCCTTCCAATTTCCCAGCTGTGCATCCTGCCTTCCCTGCACTCACACACGGTCTATTAGCTGTCCAGAGCTATGCCTGTCTAGCTGGCAGGCTGCCTGTTCACAAGCTGCTCCAACAATTGCCCTTGAGCATAAGCCAATGCCAAGTCCCCTCTCAGGAGTTCATGCTCTGTGCTAGCACTAACATGATTGCATTGGATGGCTTCACCCTGCACGCTGCTGACAACGGCCTCTTAAAGACCCCAGGTTTGCTGATGGCAACAAGCTCCCAAGTACTTTTCAAGTTAATTTTTGCCAGGTTGGTTTGTCACAGCGGTCTCACAGACAAGTAATCTGTCAATGGCAGTCAGGATTGCAAACACAGTGTGACACAGGAACCTGGGACTTCTGTAATTTTTGTTATAAGAGACTATTTCACATACAATATAGGTGTGCTTGTTCTCCAGTGCTAGAGCTTAAAGCTGGATGCTGGTGGGCCAGGAAACATTCTGTGGGAATTCTGAAAGGGAAGCAGTTTACCTGGTGAGTATTGAAAGGATGAGCAATGGCATTTCCAAATAGCCTTGCCTAAAAGCTAAGTAATTTTACCTGCTAACAAATTCTTGCCTACGACTGGCAAGCAATTTACCAGGCTCCTACAGGAAGACAATATGAAAGCCAAAATATCAGAGGGTTTATGGCTGAAGTACCATTTGCTTTGTGAAAAGACAACGTGCAGTGACTGAGAAACAGAGGAAAGAAAGAAAAGTGAGTCTGTCTCGGGGTTTTGGGTATTCACCTGGAAAAGGGCGTAACTAAATTCTGGCCCTGACACTGCAAGCCTATAATTACTGCTACAAAGTACAACAGAGTCAACAGGAGGGGGGAAAAAAAAAGTGCTTCCACCCACCTTGCATCTCTCAGGGGACAAATGGTGTCAGCCAGCACGGCCACAGCACACACACCACGCTATTGGGATGCCTGAGGTCAGACTCACACTGGCGCTGCCTCACAAGGCATGTTCCCTGGCATAAGAGCAGCTATGTATTAATGGCACACATCACGTACTATTGGTAACTGCAGGCTGTCCCACACACAGCCTCACTGCAGGTCAGATTACTTCTGCCGGTGTCAACGCGCTCTGCTGATGTTCAACAGGAAATAGCAGAAAAGATGCTAAATCTGGGAGAGCGGAAAGCAAAGCATGTCAGTACACATGCATCTCAAAAATTCTGCTTAAAAGATGAAGAAACTCCACATGCCTTCAGATAGAAGCTGCTCAAAGGAACAAAGAAGTCTCTCTGACAGGCTCGACCCCAGTCAGGAACAATGGGGCTCAGATTTACAACACAGCCCAAGCTGAGTTCTTGCAGTTCCTGGAAAACATGAGTAGTGGACTGGTGCATTTTTTTATTTGCTATTATCTCCCATAGACATTCATCCTGATCTTAACATCTTTATTGTCCATATAGAGCGAGCTTCCTCTCAAACAGAAATGAATGTTCCAGTAAGTTTCCTTAGACAAAAACAAAAATTAAGAAAAAAAAGATCCCTTTATAACTTTTAAAAAATGCACACTTCATGTTGTGACTCAAAGTGCTCTTTGTTTCAGTAAGCATAAATCCTGAATTTTACAGAGAAAAAAAAACAAAAACAAGGGAAAGAAAACTTCTGTGATACACCGGTTAGATAACAACGGAGCCTTAGATCCAGACTGATTACAAAGAGAGGGAAGCAGTAGGTAAAGTAAAGTCAGGGCTGTTCGTGTGCCTGAAGGACAACAGCTGTTTGTTCTG